TCTGTCTAGTCCAATACTGATTCACTTACGAGGGGGAGGGGACTGAACAAATTGTAAACATCCTTATTATTAAAAAAAATTTTGTATGGTTCCCAAAGAGTTAAGAGAAATACTGTAGAATACTTTATTTTCGCTTGGAATTTATTTTCGCCATTTTCGCTGAAGGGATTATTCCGTGAAAATAAAATCCAGTGAATATACTTTTTTTCCTATATTTCACATTAAACTCATCAAAAATCAGTGAAAATAAATTCCATACAAAACGCCCAAAAAGCCTTTTCAGCGAAAATTAATTCCAGCGAAAATAAAGTATTCCACAGTACTAAAGAATTTGCATGTCATGTGTGATAGCGAGTCGGAATATACATGCTATAAAATAGTATTGGTCTTCCATCCCACAATTCATACATAATTTACATATATGTTTATTGATTTTACTGGTTAGTTTAGTGTCTAATTCTTACTTCGAGTCATGACAAAGAAAATTATGTACTTATTAGTATTAACAAAGTGGGTATAGCAACAGGTCAAGACTCTTATGAATACAGCGCAACATTTTAATGACTTTACTGAGCCACTCCTGTTACCATCAAGTGTTCCCCCAAATATTTACAAGATTGGTTCTGTGCTAAATTTATCAGCATATTAATGCTGTAATTGGAGTGACAATATTGACGTGGATGTTATCAATGTTGATTTGTCGCCTTCATTAGAGTCTAGACATGTATAAGTATTAAGTTATGCAGAGAAGGAAAACCAGGTTATGACTGTGTTTATAAAATGTTTCTTTCTTCTGTCTTCACGTTTTTAAACACCTTTCGAAGTATGTTGAACCTACATAGCCACCACGCATTGATTTCATAACATTCTGTTCAAACAGCCTCCTGTTAGATTGTAATACCTCAGCCGCATCTTTATTTAATGGATCTTCTGGGTTGGGTTCCTACAGAAAAAAAAAAGTTAATGTTCAACTACAGGGTTCTTGACAAATAAATGTTTTTATGTGTACATTATAGAGAGCAAAATGAAACACTGAATTGTATTAGTTACAGTGTGTATTGCTAACCATAGAGTACAAGAGACCTTCAAAACAATTAAACACCAAGATCTCTTTGAGATTCATAAGACTTGTTTTTGTGTCACGTCATGTCCACTTTTGGAACACCTTGATGAAAGAGAAAGAAACACTATTTGAGTTTCATGGCACCCCTGGCCTTAACACGATCTTGGTGATCGTCTTTGATCTATTTGAAATCCATAAATATGTTTGTGCTAGTGATACTTTTTCATGTTCAGTCTGCAGACTGTCATTCAATCTATTAAATCACTGATTTGGTGACTGCTATGCAAATGACTTGTTATATGATGCGCCAACATTTGTGTACAAGGTTTAACTTTTTAACAGTTGAAAGAATGAATAGTCACAAAATAACTTTTTTTTTCCTCCAATGACTTCTTTTAATACAATTGTACCATTATAAAGTTGCCAAAACTCCAATTTTTAATTGTGTTTAACTTAATTTAGGCAGTTAATAAGCAAAATATTATTAGCAGAACAGTAGTCTGATACCTAGGTATTATAAACTGAACACAATGTTGAATCAAACAACCTCGTGATTTCTTTAGACAGGTTTCATTGCATTTATTTCAAAAATGGTTAATCCAACCACTAAAACGAATAAATTAATTGAGTACTTACCAAAAATAAATACTGCAAACCATATATAATGGAATTAATCGTCAATACAGGTTTCCAGTCTTCTCTGCAAAAATTAAAAAAATTATTCACTTCAATGTTTTATTTGTAAAGTCAGAATGGGATTAGTCATTTCCAGAATGAACACCACTTAACTTTGTAATTACAGTTGTTGACATAAGAGATGAAACTATCTGAAAAGAGACTCATGTCTGTTGTGTACAACCCACAAATGCAATGCAATTTTTGTTCTATTATTTATTCATCCTCATTAGAGAAAACAAAAAATATTCAAATGTGAAAGCACACGTACCTTAGAATATTGAGACACACATTGCCCTCAAGATCAATATTAGGATGATACACTTGTGTTTCACATTTCACTTTCGGTGCATCATGTGGATAGCCTTGACCCACCTGGAAATTAGTTATAAACAGGAGTGTAAATTATATGTGATGGTCACTTCGGTCAGTGTGTCAATGAACAAAGTCAGGGAACTGGACTGTGTTTTTGTTTTTAACAGCATATCCCCCATTCTAGGTTTTTGAGTAGCACGGTCTTGTAGGAAAATTTTTTACATATTGCGCAACCTTGGCCATAAACCAAATTCAATAAAACATTTCAATTTTGTGTAAAAGTTTTTATTATCAGATAACTCAACCATTCCATTCACAAAGTAGCAATCAAGCATGTGATCAGGAAAATTATCACAAAGATACTCACCTTGAAACTAAATACAAACCTGCCATTTCTGTAGAAGCCCTGCAAGTGAGAGGAAAGCCATAGTCTTAATTAAATAATTTCTCCTCAAAACAAAAAGTTTAAAATATCATACAAGTCCTACTTACTACAGGGCTTGAAATACACCAAGGCCATAGAGTTGATTGCCTGAGATAACACACCTAAATGAATTGATGGAGTTATGAATAGTCAAATATTCCTACACTACACAATCAGTCCAAAGCAACTTAGAAGCTTTAAAATTGGGTGCCCTCACAACACCAAAGTTGGAGGCTCTGTTACTATATAATTGGAATATTGCCTTTAAAATAACTGTCATATACTCTATTTGAACACAAGATAGTAAATACTGAAACAGTTAACACACTAATGGGTACAAGAAATGCACTTAAAAGTGCATGTCAGGCTGATTAAAATTGTGGGTTGTATTAATTTTAATAACCAATTTTATTAACTGTGGCTAGAGTATAAATATGTCTATGATCAAAACAAATTTATTTTTTTATTACGAACAAATACAAAGAATTAACAGTTCAGCATACATGAACTGAGTATTTCTGCGATGTGCTAGGTCTAGGTTGCAGTGGTAAAGTTGAAACGTGCTGTTGTGTATTTTTTTTCTCTCAAAATTTCTAATTTTACTGATCTCAAGCCTGCAGCATAGCATAGTAACTATTTATCTATCCAAGTCTTATTATGATTACAGGGTCATACATACCAACACTATAAATTCATTTCCAATGACATCCATTTTTACAACCATTGAGACCTGACCATTTCATGTGTTTACATTCGTTATTGTGTCGCTATTGGTCGCTGTTCCATTCTTGATTGTGAATATTTATTGTGTTTTTTCCCCCTACCCAATATAACTACGATATTAATATAAATTCTAGTTTAATATTTGTGCATCCAGAATGGGCTCATAAACTAATTCTATGTCGCCACAGTTTACCAAGAATACTTTACTTTCATTCTCGTCTTGGGGGGGGGGGGGGTTGTAATAAATCAAGATGGCAGCGATCATATGTAGTATGGCTTCTTATATTAAGATAATACTGCTGAATTTTTAAAATTAGTTTACCATAATAATTATTTAATTAAGTGTACATGGCAGTTGCCATAAGGCAGTGTTGACCTTGTCTGAGAATTTACTGTTGTACCCTTGCACTCTAGTGTAAATCCATAATACATTTTTTCTTTCTTAATTATATCTATGAATTGATAACAGATGCAACTAAATTGTTGATACATAACTCACCTCGTCTGGACAGATAATTAGTTTAAAGTTGAGAAGATCATCAGGATCGGGAAACACTACTTCACATGTTTTCGGGAGGTTCAATTCGTTTATATCTGTGTAAAAAGAAGATGAAAACACCTGAAAATTCAAATCGGTGGGCCAGCATCACAGCAGCAATAATGTAAAAATCAATTATTACACGATGCAAATCACTTCTCTTTTTAACCATATTTAGTATTTAAACATCTTTTTCCTGCATGTAATAATATTTTATAAAAGCCAAAAATTGCAATGTAAGATGTTTTGCGATGTGCGAACATTTACACTTAGTGACTGTCACACGCAACGTAATATTACCATAATTGGTATAGTACAGGTGTGATGGTTCAAATACCAAAATGGCAACAGTAACAGAAAGACTTCCCTGGCGGCGATGATAACATACGAACACGGAGCCAACAGATGAGGTTTCAACTGGTACTGGTATTATTATACTCTGCAAACATCAAGTACAATAATGCGGTAAAACTCCACTACTCCAATAACTAGATACTTAAACTCCAATACAATTCAACGAGATCTCCGATCTGATCTCAGTGCTGAACAACTCCCCTATATATATTACCACTGTCTATAAATAGACCATTACATCAGCATACATAATTCAGTTATAGGGTTTCTGCATTGTGAACAAAGTATTTGGTGTTTGAATGCGACCAATAATTTTGAGACCATCGAAGTTTGTGCAAGCAAGTGCATAATAAACCATATTCAAAGGGTAACCTCTTGACATAAACAAAACAAAAGTTCAAGGTTTAAGCTATTAAAGTTGCACTAGGACAACTTTCATGCATCTTTGTTGGGGGTCTTGTACAGTAGTTTATTTTACCGTGATACGATGGGGGCTGTCTGTACTACTTTTAAAATTTGTTACATTAACACCCAACCCTCCCACTCACTGACTGATTGACCCATTAACACTTAACCCACTTGTGGGCGACTTCAACCACCAGCCGAGTTGTACCACTGGCAGAGTTTGGTCACCTTTGGAACCACAGTGCTGATTGCCATTACATGTACACAATCTATCACAGAGGAACTGTGGATAGATGTGTATTACTAAATGAAGGCATGGATTTAAACGATGAGGGTATGCAACTTTCATAACTATGTAGGATGATAGGAGTTTATGTATATATCTAAGAATGCCTATAATTTTGTCAAAAGGCATATGCAACTGAATTGGGGGTGGGGCTTAGCTTAGAGCTAGGGTTAGGGATGGAGATACAAAACTACCTTTTTTTCGTTGTAACTTTGTGATTATATCTCACAAATCTCAATTCATGTGACTTCTTCAATTTGTGTGATATCATAATCGCATATCACACGGTTGACACCCTTGCAAAATCTATAACTCCTTGTTCAAGGTTAAAGAGATAATACTTAAATACTTGAAAACATTCCATGTATTCTGAACAGTTTTCAATGAGTCAGCAGTTTCAAACAGAATCAAATATGCATTTTCTGTTGACACGTACCGACAATGAAATGTTAACCGACTGACGTCATATAGACAGTGGTGTTTTCCTGTCTGTTGTCTTCATACTAAATGTATACCATATGATGGCATATCTGGCATAATTACACGACTAGTAGGCCAAATTAAAGACCGACGACACAATGTTGATGTACGCCATTCCAACAACATAACCAATAAGTTCAATATATTTCCAACAGCGATCAATGACCGGGGTTATGTTATCAGCAGTTCATTTTTTTTACCTTTTGTGATTCGCAGCTGCGCTGCCGATGCTCTTTTTTGACTTGACTTGACCGACCCGTCCCCGTCCTTTTTCTGTTGTTTCAGTGAGAATAATTTGATCATCTTGGTGTAAATTGTACTGCCCACACCTCACTTGGGTGTGATGCTCAGATAAAAAGTCTGTAAAGTTGACAAGTTCGAGTGTAAATCAAGTTTTCTCGCTGTCACTCCTAAAACCACTAAACGATGACAAAAGTCGATATAAAATACAGGAAATAGAAATGACGAACAGACATACACAACTAATCCCTTAACTTGGTAAATAAAAATATAGCTACAAAGACTGACACTTTCTAAATTAAGAGTATATAATGCAGTTTGAAACATTTTGTGAAATTACTAAGTTAGTTAATTTTTATTTTTGGTTTAGTATATAAAATACAGAATGTGCTATATTTCCAGACTGAAAATACAATGAATAAAACATGTAAAGGCAGCCATACACGTTGCCGGTAAGTCTCCGTAGCTATGTCCCGAGCACAATCTTACAATAATGATGTAACATTCGTTGATTACTCATGTATTTGACATTGTGTACATTTAAATGAATAAGAGGAATCGATGCCGCTTCGTGAATGTTTTATAAAAGAGAAAAAAAAATGCAGAAGAAAAAACTTCTTTCTATCAGCTTTACCCGAAAATGATAATGATAATAAGATGGCATACATCCCGGGAGTAATATCTCGCTCGCGGTTTTTATTACATGCAATTACGACAAACAATGAAAGGAAGACATTTTTAACAAAAAAAGGGAAAATGGGAAAAAAACCTTCACCAATCCACCCCAAACCATGGGTTATTCGAAAATGCAAAATAGATACAACAAAAAACGGAAAAATCGAAAAAAAAAATACCTTTTTAATTTTATGGCGGCAATATTTTATTGTTGTGGGCGAATACAATACACAATGCCAGTATATTGTTAAAACGTGGAACGTGAAATGGGTTTAGACCGTCGCGAGACAGGTTGGTTTTACCCTAGTGAAAAAAAGATAACGCAACAACCCGGGCAACAACGCACATGGAAACGAAGGCCTGACTTCATTTTCTCGGTATGGGGGCGCGCTGGTATTTGAGTATTTATATAATGTCATTATTGTAATCAATTTTGCGAAGACGATTCAAAATAATAGTATTGACGCATAAATAACAAATTGTGAAATGCAAATTTTCTACTGTGCTTTTATGAATATCTTGTCTGTTGAAACCACTGCTTTTTTAAAACATTAAGTCACACAGATGAATTTCACTGGACATTTTTAACTGTAAGACAACAAATGACGACTTGAGTTCAAATACACGAGTATATAATTTGGAAATGAACAATTAAAAAATTGTTCACCCCTATAAATTCGATAAAAATTTATAGATTCTCATTTGATAAGTTCGTAATCGGAGTGAAGACAAACTATCCCGAAAAATTGTGTCCTTGCGATTGTGTACGCAATCTATTCGAAAGGTGCAAAGTATTCGAGATTCCCAAAACACATTTATGAAATTGTATTAATCAATTAATTAATTTTCATTGCATAACAACACACGATGAAAAATGCAATGTAGCAAAAATGTTTTACCTATAAAATTAATTAAAGGCTAAGTATTGTCTAATTTGTAAATAAATGATTACAATTTTATTAATGTAACAGGGATGTTCAAAGTTTGTATTTTGTTTCTTAGCACTATCAAATAATATAACTTTCTCGGAATTATATTTTGAATTACGTGATGTAATTTATCTTCGACTGCTGAATTACTAATACATGTACATGTTTTACAGAGCATTTTGTCTGCTGGTGTAATTGGTCTTATTCTGCCTAGTTGTTGTTAATAGCTTTCAAATTGCTAATGGGTTCAATAAAAAAAATAGTTACTTTACCTGGACGATTAATTCTGATTGCTTAGCAGTAATATTTAAAAAAAAAGTTAATTGGCGTGTTTTTACTTGAAACTGCCGAGTTTCCCTGTGGAATAGTTGAATTAACAATATTATTGATAATAAATACTGTGTCTATATTATTTTCATTTTAAAAAGGTTTCTTTCCCGACGTTGTTTACAGAAAACACATTGACTATGGTTGGAACAGCCAACTTTTCCTAATTTTCGTCAGACTTGTTTAGACGACTTAGAGCTACCGTTAGAGGGCGTGTTGTTACAGCATTTGTTGTTCGACGATTCGATAATCACAATTTTACTTGTAAAATAATGTGTTACAAAAATTAGGAAGAACATTTCTCTAATTCAATCATCACCACTATTATGTATATTGTACGTTAAAATCAGTGGGGATTTCGAAAATGAATTGTTGTATCTGTCGTTCTGTGAATATACGCGATATAAGTGTTACGATATGTCAGTGTCAGTGGGCTGATTTACGTGCCTGAATGTTGCATGGGATGGGTTGCATGAGTCCGAATTGATCACTTATTTGAATCCCAGTCATGTCATCTTTAGCCCAGGAAATCAAAAAGAACGGCGAAAGAGTTGCCCCAACAGATATGGAAGACAGTACGAACAATGTCCAAAACAGCGCCAGAGAATCTGAGTTGCCGCAAAAGTTTTACCGAGACGTCGCGTTTGTATGTTCCCAATGCGGGTGCGTTGGTCACACGGTCACAGCGAAATCAACACCGTTTGCTGAGAAACAGTCGCATGTTTACGACGATGGAACAACGAGTTACTTCTGGTGAGTGTTCCGCTATTTGATGTGTTGCTGTGATCTCCCTTGTTTAGTGAGAACATCAATTATTTACACTAAATTATCGTGCTATTTTGGGACTCGAGTCATCGGGACGATTCGACTCGCTGATTTTATAACCGGGTTAATGATATACGGCCTTAATTTGCCCTTTGTATAATAATGTCACCATGGACTGTTTCTCTCCTTTAAGCTAAAATAAGACACAAATATCGCTCTTTAGACATTCACTAAATTACATATTCTAAAATTATAGAATGGACAGGCTAAACATTAAATATATTTTAATATGCATTTTGTGAATTATAATATCCATTAAAATACATGTGTTGTCTCAGGCCTTCTATGATTCTGGTACTGTTTTTTATCATCATACAGTTAATCTTTTATATTAAACATGACACTGACTGACTTGGTCAGTTTCTAGACATATTTGCATACATGTGTAAATAAATGTCTATAATCGTGGCAATAAAAAAGCTCTTAACCCTATCAAACATTATTTAATTTAAAGGACGGTGGTAACATACAAGCCATGTTTTTTTTTGCAAATTGTTGGAAAGCTAGGAAAGGCTCTTCCGATCGCAGTCAATTATAGGTGGTCTACGCTATTAAAATTTCTACAAAATGGTGTGAGTTAGGATGATTGTTATCTTGAGTATTGATTTGTGCAAGTGATAAGTGAGCGCAGTGATCATTCCCTAATGGCATGCCTTGATCATGCCCCAACGTGTGTAGAATAATTTTAAATACAATATTTCTGCCAAATTGCGACAATGATGCTGCCTGATGACCTCTGCACTTTGAATACTGTTTCAATGTGCCTAGTGTCTCTGACCTGACCATGTGTGTGAAAGTGGGTGCATTCACATATAATAAAGTACTAGTATTATATTCATATCAAGTAAAATAGTTCTCTAAATGTACATGCATTTTTCTTGATTTTCAGGGATTTAACCATTGAACACAAATGCATTTTGAAGCATTGCATGTTTTTTTCCTGGGGGGGGGGGGGGGCTGGTTGGCAACAATTAAATCTATTGCTATTTCTGTGTGTGTGTGAGTGGGGGGGGGGGGGGGTCCTGAACAGCAGAATAGTTGCTTCTCGTTTTAATCTTGAAAATGTAATTTTTAAAGGTTGAAAGTTTATCAGAATAAAACAAAAGTATGCTTGTTTGCATATTACATCCAAATTCTATTAATTAGCTAAGCTATAAAAAATTATATAGATTACAAAATGTGTAGTCTTTTAACTTTAATACTGACCAGACATTGATTCTGAAGAAATTTTCAGCTTGACCTAAAATAAAATTAAATCACTTTCAGGTGTAATGTTTGAGCCTATGACATACAGTTTGTATGTATTCTACCTAGATAGCCGCACCATTGAGTTTCGTCACATACACAGTAATACAATGCCAATAATGTTTTGTGATTTGATAATTTACTATCGTTTCAGTCATTCTTTGAACGATTATGTTTAACTAAATATTGTTACACTACACTACAGCAAGTTATTATCAATATTGTTGATAAATGTACAGCAATTGCTTCCAATGTTGTTGAAGTTGTTTTGCTACAATACAGTTTGTTTTGATACATTTGCGACCAATGTTGTACTATGAAGACAATTCAAATTTAATGTTACACATGACAATGTAATAATAATAATATCGTAATTAAGTTAAATATATCATTACTGTAAAACCATTTTAATGCAAAACATCTCTTATTTTTAATCATGACTTTTTTTGTGATGGTTTATAAAACAGTGTTGTATTGTGATGCCCCAACGTTGTTTGTAAATATAAAACAGTTTGTATAAATGATGTGAACTACTTTTATTTTAGTACCAAACAAATGTTAGCTTGCAGGCCAATGCCTCAAACTCTATACATATTTGTGTTGTTGAGACCACTGAGGATTCTCTGCATTGAATTCTTGGCTCAACACTTTTATTGTTGGCATACACATCAGATTATTAAAGAAAAATTGTTTATGACAGGTTTTGAGGCGAGTCTAACCAAAGTACTAGTAATGTACTGTAGACACATTAATGGTGACTTCTCTCCAGTGACTGTTTTGAATCATAATTTTGAAGACCCCAGAATATATTGCCCTATTTCAAATCAATAAGTCGTGGAGAGTAGCCTGCTGTATTTCAGAGTTTTAACATCCATCATTTTCATTACATGTGTTCTATCCATCAATAATCACAGATGTCTTCATACTTGGTTTGCAGGCGTGCACACACCTTGACTGTACTGTTCTGTATGCTTGCTGTGTTTGTTTATGTCGCACTCATTGAAGAAGTTAGTGATGATCTCGCTTATAATACTAAAAGGTAAGTCCAGTTTAATAATAATACTGTTAAAAGGAGTAATACGTTTGTCATGTCTCTAGATTGAGATTTGACAGCATTTAACAGCTGCATAATTTACTACAATTCTATTATGAAATTTGCTATCTTTGGCTCCGGCTGCTTATTCTTACTTGCAATATTCCTAGGAACATTGTCAGTGGTGTTTTGAATTTACAACACTTTTAATCCCAACAAGCCAACACCCCTGGACACCAGTGTTCAAAATTAACGTCGATCCGTCGGCCTCACACCGACAGTGGGTGTGAAGGGCCGAGAGCTGTGAAAAACCATCAGTCCTTGTGGCCGACCATAAATTTATATTTAAAAAAAAATGTTTCATTATTTAATATGATTGTAAAACCAAATATATAATAAATATCGCTAGTAACTCCAGAATTGTTTCAAAATTGCGTTTTCTTGCACGTTTGATCAACAAATGGCATCAAGCCTCCGATTCAAACCAATAGAATTCGCGCTTACATTTTATGTTCCACCATCTTTGATTTGCATCGAACACGCTGGTATCAATAGTTGCAGAGTTACGTCTACATCGAAGTATGTGGCGATATTTAAACTGCCAGGAGCCTGCTGCTAAACGTGTGAAAACTACACAAGAAAGGCGTGACAAACAGCAAGAATACGAACGGTCTAGGCGTAAACCACGCACATTCCAAGTTAGCTGGCAGGCGGAGTTCAAAGACTGGTTACCTTTTGATAACAACAACAATGTGATGTATTGCCGGCCTTGTCGAGGATCCTACGGTCAGCTGTCGGTTAGTAAGCTGCCTGACAAGCTGTGTTCTGGTTTTCAGAATTATTCAAAAGGGCCATTTGTGGTGGGGACTAATTATTTCAAACACTCTACTCTTGTTGATCACCAGAGATCCGATGGTCATAATCAAGCTGTAATTCACATGACGAATCTTTCTTGAAAGAGTGTAGCTGAAACTGCTGATGGATGAATGCTGCAGTGTTTGATAAGCTCGACCCTCTGTTCCGATGCACATGCAATAGCCAAGAATAATAAACCATTTTCTGATTTTGTGTGGATGGCGAATCTTGATGAGAAAAAAGGGCTCACACTTGGTGAAACTTACCGCAATGATGCATGAAATTTGTGTCAGTCAAGTTGAACAAAATAATATTGCTGCGAAACTGAATAATTAGTTTTTCACACTGATAAGTGATGTTTCAGTTATTGAAAACGAAATCATTTATATCCGTTCAGCACATCTTGTTTTTTTCTGAAGATTTTGATGAGTTAGTGACGATGAAAGAAGTGATGATGACCTCTTTGAGGCTGCAGATAATATATCTGATTGATTAGTAAATAAAGGTTTTGAAATTGCAAGCTTGTAGTCTTTATTTGTTAAATATCAGGGCCTACAGTTAGCTAGAAAGACCTACAGTTTTAATTTGACATAGGTCCTTCGGGCCTGTTATGATTTTCAGTTAATTTCGAACACTGCTGGACACAATCATTTTCAAATGGGATTTATGGATTTTGATTTAAAATGATTTTGAGCAAGAGAAATATGTGGAATATGAAAATGGTGAATTATTGAATCATATTAGCGTTTTACATTTTAGCACAATGAATTATTATTTGATCATGCGCATACAACTTCATTTAATTTTTGCACCACTGTAGTGGGACTTTTGATTAACAAATGAGTGTTGTCAATTTCCAACGATTGTCGGCATAACAAACACCACTATCATTGTTTCTAGGAATATTGCAATGTTGCAAGGGAGATTGTTTTGATAGTTCATTTCGTTCATTGATATCCTCTGGTCATTTTG